GTGAGTCAGTGCATGTGCGGGGCTGAAGAAGGAAAGAAAAGGCTCCCAGCGCCCCAGCCCCACGCTCGCTGAATACCAAGCTGCAGGCGAGCTGCCGGGTGCTTTTTTTTTTTTTTTTTTTTTTTTTCCTCCTCCAATTCAGAGTAGAGGAGCCACACTGATTTCTTTGCAGGGGAGGGGAGGGGCCGGGCAAGGGGTCCCAAGTCGCACACAAGTCTTCGCTGCCATGGGGGCCGTCATGGGCACCTTCTCGTCTCTGCAAACCAAACAAAGGCGACCTTCTAAAGGTAAGCCACCTCCTTCTTCCTTTTGTTCCCCTGGCTGGGTTTGGGGGTGCTCCGTGCTGAGCTGGGGTGTGCCCCCTGCCTTCCTTGGCCTGGGCCCTCCTCTCCATCACGAGCGAGGGCAGGTCCTTGTATCCGAAGGAGTCAGAAACCTGGCGGGAGGTTTGGTGTGAATATCGTGAACACGCACGAGGAGCCAGAGTGGGCACTGGCCCCAGGGGCGGGGGAGATCCCCTGTAGGGCACTGGGTGCCAGGACACTCCTCCTGGAAATCTCTGGGAACAGAAGGAAGAGTCAGATTCACAGGTGGGGGGTGACTGGATTGTCTGGTTGGAATGTTGGGAAGCCCTTCCCGTTCCCATGACTGCTGGCGATTGTGCAACTGTGGGCACCCAGCAGGGGTGCTCACACATGCACACACTCCTCCTGGTAGTAGTGCTGGTGCAGACCTAGGAGTCCCTCATCCGGGAGACAGTGCTCTGTGCGCCCACCCCAATAAACCTCTGCAAGCCAAAAGGAATCAGCTGCTGCCAGGTGGTGAAACTCCCAGGGCTCATGTCCTGGTGACTGGGGGAGTCACTAGGAGCCAGGGTGTCACGCAAGGGTGCTGCCATGCTCTGGGAACCACCGGGGGGGCTGAAGGCACCGATGAGGTGTGATGGAGCAGTGAGCCTATGTCAGGGATTAGAAACTGTGAGTCCCTGCAGTCCCTCCTTCCTGGACCCTGTTCCATAGCTGCCTTTCCCCAGCTGAGACATGCCCAGTCTCCCCCGCCGGTGGGACAGGAGTCGAATGGGTCCATGTGAAGTTGGGGCAAACATATCTTGCACCACGGGAGACTACACAGGCCTCCTATCCAGCAGTTAGAAAGTTGGTTGTTGGAATGAAGAGACAGGATGCAGTTAGGAAGAAAGAAAATGATGGGTTTTGTGTTCTTTCGTTTAATGCTCAAATCCTCTTGTGAGTGGCAGAAGGGTTTCAAGTAAACTGACACTTAAACCTTCAAGCTCTACCATTGGAGCTCAGGTTCTGGCTATAGGTGGGGGTCATAGCTCCCAATCTTTAATGCTGGTTAGTGATTCAAATTGTATTAAGGTAAGGCTGGACCCCAGGGTGCTCAATGATCTGCTCTTAGGACTTGGTTGGTCTCCCCTGACTCGTTAGGCAGGTCTGTGTCCCAGAGTTCCTCATGCGTAACCTGCCTTCAAGGGGTCCAGGCATCTGGCCTAGCTCCCAGAGACATTGGGCTGGTTGAGCACTGAGCAATGAGATCTCCGGAGGTAGATCTTAGGTGATGAAGCTGGATTGGTGTTTACATCTTAGAACACGAGTCTAAGGCCACGTGAGTTACACATCCTTTTGGCAGGGAAGGGTCTGGTTGCCTTTTTACCAGTCTTGGGCAGGACAGGTCTGCAAGCCTTGGTCCAGGACCTTGACATTCAGAGCCCTGTTTCTCACAGATCCTCAGATACTACTTGTGTGGGAACACAATTCAGCACCAAACCCCCATCATCTGTCTGACCACTATGAGGCCCCAGAGGCCAGGGGACTGTGGGTACAAGAAACCCAGGGGTTTGTTTTAAAATATTTTCAATGCCTGTGGCACTTCTGGGAGTCAGCTAGGTGTCACAGAAAGATCTTGAGCTCTGGAGTCCAGTGGGGTCTGGGTGTGCATCCCAGCTTCATCAGCGCCTCCTTCTGAGATCTCAGGCCAGCCTCACCCCTCTTAGCCTCAGTTTTCTCATCCATAACATGGGTGACAATACTATGTCCAGGCAGGAAACTGGGTGTGTGGGAAGTACAGGGAGGGAGGACCATGCTACATATACAGTGTTGGCTGAGCCACCAAGGACCCAAAGGAGACTTGTAAGCACGTGAAAAAAAAAAAAATAATAATAAGGATGGATATGAAGTTCCTTGCACAGGGTCAGGCAAAGATTAAAAGCTCAAACTTTACTGTCTACCATTCCCTTCTCCTGCACAAAATTCTGGGTCACCCCAGTGAATTCCCATTGGAGTCCCAGAGACCAGAGCTCTTTGCTCTCTCCCAGGATCCTAAGAAAGAGAAGAGGGGCACCAGCATTCGGTGAGCCCTTGCTGTGTGCCTGGCACAGTTCTGGGTGCTTCTTCTGCACCTTCTCATTTAACTGTCACAACAATGCCTGTTTGAAGCTCACAGCGGGTCAAGGCTGTTGGGCAGGCCGCCACGGCAAGCCCCAGCCCTGAGTGGTCGGTCCCTCTTGCACAGAGTTCCACCACATTGGCTGAATTGTCCAGGGCTCCAGCTGTGTGTATTTCTCCTGGCATTTGGCCCCGAGCAGAGTCTTATCTTACCATCTTCCTCTGTGGAATGCTAATCAGCAGAAGACCTTTCCTGCAGAGAGAAGTGACTTAGAAACTGGCTAGGGAGGCTAGTGGTCAGGGATCACTTCCTGGCCAGTTCCCTTTCCCCCCACCTTGGGACCTCAGTTTCTCCTCAGGTTCCATCCTGCTCTCAAACTTGGAGGTTTTTTATTGCTGATGCTCTTGCTGGAACTGCTACTATGATCTCTGAGACATCAGGCTCGGATCTAATTAGAAGCAGTAAGAAGAGGATGGTGGGGATTTTCAATTCCTGCTGGATTCAAATCCAGGCCGACAACTCACTTGCTGTGTTTGCCTCAAGTGTAAAACAGAGACAGTAGTGGTAGTTACCATTTTAAAATAGCTGTTGGGTTGTGTGAATTTCAGGGATAATGCAAGTCAAATGCTCAGCACGAGCTCTGCTATGTAGTAAGTGGTCAGCATATTTTAGCTTCTGTTCAATTTATGGCTCTGAACTGTTTGTGGCTTCCAAATGCCTCGAGTGAGGCCATCCTGGAAGTAGGCAGTGCCTCTGGGAGTCCTACCTCCTTGTTTCTGGAGCCCTCTTCCAGCACTGTCCAGATAACTAGGACCCAAAACTTTAGATACACCGAGGCTGGTCCTGTTACTGAGCCTCCACTGACCTCTGCTCCGTGGCTGGTCCTGAAAACAACATAGCTTGCTGAACAAATCCCTGCATGTTTGCCAAAATATAATCTGGTAGCATGTATACATTTTTTTTAAGTAGGGCAAAACCCCATGTGACTAGTGCTGAGAGAGGGACACACATAGCCCAAGCTGAGTGTTCAGGGAGAGCTTCCTGAAGGCAGCCGAAATCTGAATTCGTTTAAGAGCAGGGTCACTGAATAAAAACATTCAAATTCATTTTCCTTCTCTGTTTGGGATCTTTGTTTCTCTTTAAGAATGAGGAAAGGCCATCCTGCTTTTGGGGATTTAGCTTCTGCAGCCCGGTCCTAGGTAGAATTTCTGGCTCCAGGAGTTTTGCATGTGCTTATACCAAGGACACTGCTCGGTACACTGCTCTGGGCTTTAACAAGTAAGCGAAAAGGGTTGGGGTGTGGGGTGACCAGAGAAGGCTGATGCAGGTGCAGCTGCGGAGCCTGTGGGGGGCAAGAGAATTTAGGCAGAACATCACTAGACCAAGGCCATCTCAGTGGAGGTATGCCTGTAAGCAAATGGGTTATCAGTCCTCCACTGCCAGAAGAAAACATTCAGAACCCTCAGGAAGGTCTGAGCTTGGGATCTCCAGAGTGCTCACTGACTAGATGAGCAAACTAAAGCCCACACCTATGAGATGCTTTTTCTAAGTCCCCGTGGCAAATTAGGGACAAATATGGAATTGGTTTCCTGATTCCTAGATCAGTGAACACCTTGGAGAATTTGTGGAACGAGAGGGTTCCTGATGAAGCTGGGTTTGTAGTTTTTTAATCGGGCAGCATGCTCAACCCAGAAGATCTGGGAGACCAAGGAGAGGCAGCGAGGCGTGGAGAAGCAGAAACCCTGCTGTCACACAGCCCTTGTATCAGGGGACCTTTGGCAAATCATTTCACCTTGGAGATGCCAGTTTCCTTATGTCTAAGAGAGGCGTACTAATTTATGGAGGCGTTTGTGTGGGTCTCCCCGGCTTCTGCATCTTTGTCCATCCTTTTAACTCTGTGTTACCCTTCTAACTCCATGTTACCCTTCCTCCATCTCCTGGTCCGATAATTATCATTCCACCCATAACCCAAGACCTCACTCAGCTATTTCCACAGTCAAGAAGGCTTCCCTGGACCCTGGGAGGCAGTGATTTCTCTCATCTACATTCCCAAATAGTTTAAAGTATGCATTTTCATGACTTTCAAGTCATGCATTCAAGTAGGCACTGGATGGAGGTGTTAACCACACCTCCCCAACCCCCCACCCAACCCCTGACTCTGGAGTGTCAGCTTCTTGCAGGGAACTTGTCTGAATCATTCCTCAAAGTCCTCAGCCTGGTTTCCTGCACATAGTAGGTACTCAATAAATCTTTTCTGGAGGAAATTATAAATAATGGAATGGTTGGCCGCTCTCTGTTATTTTCTAGAATTGCAGACCCTGCAGGAAAAGTTAGCTTCCCGCTGGAATTTCGGTTACCAGCCCTTTACCTTGAATGAATTCTCTTATTTGGTCTGCTGGCTTTGAATTGGCTTTGTCCATGAGATGTACTGAATCTGTTTACCATTTAGCAGGGAGATGCTGAGAACAGTGTTCCTACTCCCCAGCTCCTGAGAGTCACAAAAGCTTGAGGAGCCCACACCCAGTGCCAGGCACAGTTCTGGGATCTCAATCCCAGAAGACACTCAGTGGAGATCAAGGTGAACAGAAAGAGGGAAATGGAAAGTTTGAAAGATAGAAGTGAGGGACTACTGCCTAAAATGAGAAGGTTTGTTCCTGGCAAGGGGCACAGTCTGGACCTCTTTGTATACCTAGAAGGGCTTTGCTCAATGAATGTTTAGTAAATGTGAAAATGAACAGTGAGTGCATATGTTGACATGTGAGTGAAAGAATGAATGATTAAATGAATGGAGGAATAAGTAAATACATGAATGAAAGGGAGCAAATGAAATATCAAATGAATGCCAGAGGGAATGATTGAAGATATGAGTACATGCATGAAT